AACAAATTAGAGCTTTGACCTGATGGTGGTGCTAAATGAAAAGCCAGAGGATCACCCCGAGTTATTTCATCCTGATGGGAACATGAATGTCTAACTGAATGTCATGGCAATCCATCCAACACTTGTTGAGGCATTTCACTCAAATACAGTAATGTCAGCCCTACAGCAGCACTAAAGGAAAAGTCAGGAGATCACCAAAATTAGAAGGATGCATCATCTGGGGATCATGAATGTCTGAATCCAATTTAATGGCAATTGTAGTAGCCGTTTCAACATACCATACAAGTTCCTAGGCCACTTAGTTTGTGAGGTGTCTCGGTTTTGACTTGTGTTTCTGCTCCTTTTCTGGAGATCCACATGAGGCAGGCAAAAGGTGAACGAGGTTTAAGGCCCGAACATACTCGGGCGGAACGTTGTGCTCAGATTTTACGACCGCGCGGACTCCACTCCCCGCACCAGTGACTGCTCGGTATATATTTTTCACATCGCGGGGATTTTTCACAGACATTTTTACAGGAAACTACAACGAGGAAGTGCACTCAACTATGAAAGCCCGAATGACTGCGGACATTCCTCGTGGAGTCCGCTCCGCCTATAGTACGCCCGAGTATGGAGGATACAAAAAAGAACAACAAAATGGCAGGTCGTTCTTCTGGAATTACATCTCTGGACCGACTGACATTACTGTACTGTCCTCAGAGTTATGCTACTGTTTTCTTCTTCTCCTCAAAGACAGCCAGACGGCTGATAAGACCATTAAGTGTGTTCTTATCAACGTCCTCTGTGCATGTTAGTGTCTGAGACAGCTAAACCTACATCACTGCCTCCCTCTCCAGCCCATCAGTCAGCAGTGATGCCACCCTGCAGTTTGCTCCAGTTTCTAGGCTAATTAACCTGTAATCAGCTTCTCAAGTGTTTTGGGGGCCAATAACAGTCAGCTAATGGCTGAAACACCAATTTTTACGTCAGAGGTGCCATTAGAGGCAAATGAGCAGCCAAGTCTGCGGGGCAGCCAAGTGTTTAACCCATGGGTTGGCCAAAATGAGGCTCATGGGACAAATTTAGCCTGCGCTGTAACAAATGTTGATACTGTAAGTCTTCCAGAAATGTATATTAGCTGTAGCATGATTATAGTTAGGAGTGTTTTCAAAATTGAATTCACCACTGCACCAGGAAGCTCTGCCACACATGTGTAGTTCACTGAGGTTGTCCTGTTTTTTCTTCTCTACAATAAAAATGAATTTCCTTTTCTCACAACATCTATAAAAAGTGCCTTTCTTGAGGTTAATGTTCCTTAAAATTGTGTCATGCTTGCGTCATTAGGCTGACAGTGCTGCTCCCTAACTGTCCCCACCAGGACAGTTGTTTGTTGTGTTTCTTAATTTCTATTACACTGTAGAGAGACAGATCTCTCTGAGCAGTGGGAATGTGTTTGTTTAGGACAGGCGCTGAACACTGATGTAGGTGTTAGACAGCAGTTAAAACCTCCGGATGTGCCCGGCCAGTCCGGTGGGTGAGTGTGTTTTACACTTGGCAGGACAACAGAGAGCAAGTCATGTGAGAGCGCAGCCAGTTCCTCCCTACTCATTGAAATAATCACTCCTGCGTGTTTCATTGTGTGTGTGTGTGTGTGTGTGTGTATCCACTGCTAAGCACACATCAAGAGCATTAATTATTCCCATGACATTTTTACATGATTGTGAGTATCTGTGCAGCCTGTCTCTGTTTACTACAAACAGCCTCGGCAATACAGACATTTACTGCAGAAAGCAAACAACATGTACCACCTGTGTGTGCCTTTGTGTGCCAGCTCAGAAGTTCAAAGTAAAGGCCTTTGTATTTTTTCTATGTTTTTTTTTAAATAAATCATCTGATAAAAACAAATTGGTACACAAAGAAATCTTGCACACTGAACACAATGTGATTTATGGTTTAATTCACTGTGAAAATTCCCAGTATGAGACAAAATAGAAAGACACATTTGCCCCATTGCTTCCCTGTGCGTACTGTGCGGCTATTAAATTGCACTCTGGTGTAAGCATCATCATTGCTGTCATGTATTTCTGGACAGGCTAACGTTACTGTCTCTATGTTATGGAAGTTTTTCTCGGTGGCCCCCCGTCCACTTCTGCCCTGTTTCTCTCTCTTGTTGCAGATGTATGTGTCTCACAGGTTATGCCACATTTTCTTTGCTGCTTTTAGGTCAAACAACTCTCCAAGGGCTTTTAATGGATGCAAAAAAAAAAGGCTGAGAAACCAACCTTTGTGACGGACAAAAGTCCATACAACATGAGGTCATATGTTTTTTTTTTTAAGCATGCAACAATTTGGGACAAAAACTACAAACTTGGTTTGCAACTTCCTTTGGAGCCGTAGACATATCGCATCTTTGAACCCCTGGAAAATGCAAGCTTGGGCACTGGGCGCTACTTTTGTGCCTTTTCTGTGCCAGCTTTCAAGAGCGTGTTGGCAGGTTGCATCTGAGGTTGCTAAGCAACCCCAACAAGCATGGTAACATAGTCTGTTTACCTGAAATCCTGAGTGCAGAGCTGATCTTCTTCCAGGTGCTGTTTAGGCCAATCATATGTGGGATAGATGTAAAGCTCTGGGTAGCCCTGCACTAACATGATCAACTTCTCCTTCATATTTACCACTGACTGATATTTACGGAGGAGGGGAAAGACATCTGTTGGCTGTGATTGGTTGGTCCTTGTCACATGACATGCGATGTGCGCTGCTGTGTTCCAAAAGTCGAACTCGGTTTATCTCAGGGGGCCCTGGAAAATGGGCTCTTGGGAACACTTGCACACCACGATGGTGTCGCTCTGGCATTTGAGTGCGCCTGCCTCGGGTCTACATTGAAACCCTTGAATTTGAAGGCGCAAAAAATGCAGCATGTGCACGGCCCCTTAAACACTGAATTTGTTTTGTTTTGTTTTTTTCCTTCACTCTTTCTATTTTTTTTTTTTTTTTCCTGTTCCTACTTGTCTGCATTGGTCTTCATAGCTTAGCGCCACTAAAGGGTGTAAGCTTCTTGTGAAGATTGATGCACTGTTAATCTTGCAGTCAAGTATTTTATACCCATAATGCGTGGTTGTGACCGTCACCCACCCTCCCTGGAGACTAGCCTAACAGCCTTTATTGGAAAAACTTCCTAATATGAGTCAGAGAGGGCCGTGATACACCAAAGTGTGTCAGGGGGAAAGTAAGGAAACAAGCAAGGGGGAGGGGGCAGGTGCTTAAGTCCTGAGTTATATAGTGACAGTGCATGCGGAGAAGAAGGAGGAAAAACAAACAAATAAACAAACAAACGAAAAAAAAACAGGGGAGAAACAGGCAGTGTAGCTGATGTATTGTGGCCTTGAGGTGGTTGTGCTCCATGCAGATTATCAAAAATAAACATATACATGTCTACTATACTGTACTGAAAAACAAAAACAAAAGAGAAGTCTATACTGAACACCAAAAATGTGAGAGTCTTGGTGGAGTCTTGGTGGTGGTAGGTTTGAGAAGCAAGTGGGCCCCTTTGGAGTGATCCCATCGGTTCTTTGCGATGCATCACGGAGCTGAAGTATCGAACATGCATGCGTGTATTTGAACCCTCCCAATGTGTTTATGAAAACCATCACCAGGGTCCAGGGCCAGCCCTGCGGGGGAAGGGGGGCGGTATGGCACCCCAAGACCGCAGGAGCGCCCAGACCCCAAGACCAGGGAGCCGCAGAGGCTGCAGGACACCACGCAGGCCCAAGGACCCAGGGCGGCGATGGCCGGCACCCCGAGAGAGCCAGAGACACACCCCAGACAGGCGGGGCAGGAGAGCCCGCCCACCCACCGCCCGACGCGGACCGCCCCCACCCACCCCCAACCACCACCCGCCCCCGACCACCCGCCCGCCCCCACCCACGGACACACCCAGGGACCGCCCCTGACCCAAGGAGCCAGGCGCGGGGGCCCGGCACCGCCCCCTGGGAGAGAACCAGCACCGCACCGGACGGGCCCGCGCCAGGCGCCGGCCACCAGCAGACGCCGGACCGGACAGTAGTGAGAGGCCACCCAGGCCCGGGCAGACGAGGGAGGCAAGGAGGCGGTGATGCTGCAAGGCATATGTCCCCGGCGCATCGGGAACCAGGGGGCCGCGAAGGGCCACCCGCCCAAACCCGGGCCCCCACCAACACACAGGAGAGAGCGGCCCGCCACGAGCAGTCAATCCCCCATCGGGACCCCCTAGCAGAGGGCCCATAAACCACAGCCAGTCAGGAGGCAGAACCCCGGCAGGAACCCACAGAGCCCCCAGGGTGCCACCCGGCCCACCCGCCACAGGGCCACGGGACCCCCCAGACACCAGGAACCCAGCCACACCACCATGATGTAAATGGGCTCCCTGGCTCCAACCCTCAGCCCAGGAGGGCCGGGCCCCACTAGCCACACCATGCGTATCTACAGTGTGTGTAAACCCACCACCCCCCCTCTTACTATGATTCTCCGATCCCTGACGGAGAAACATTAACCCTACACCGTGAATGTGAGTGTGAATGCCCATAAGTGTGATGTGGTGCATTAAAATTGAAAATCCTTCACTCTTTCTAGTACCTCGTCTCACCATGTCCTTTTATCGGAGATAAGTGTATTTTTTTCTTTAAATAAATAGTTTAATATTTGAGAAATACTCTTATTTGCTTTCTTGCAGAGAGTTAGAGGAGAAAATCGATACCACTCTCATGTTTGTACGGTAAATATGAAGCCAGAGCCAACAGTCAGTTAGCTTAGCTTAGCACAAACACTGGGAGCTGGGGGAAACAGCTAGCCTGGCTCTGTCTGAAGGCAACAAAATCCTTCTACCAGCCCCCTAAAACTCACTAATAATACATTCTCTATACTCTCCCAGAGTCTACTGAAACACATGCTTCCACTTTCTCTATAAATTGAAAATCACTGCTGCAAATATATGTAAACTTGGTAATTTGTGTGAGTTTTGAGTGTTTGTGTGTGTGTGTTTGTACCTCACTAATGATACCGACGGCACCATGGATTTTGGCCACAGGACCCAGGAGAGCAGGGCATTGTTGTCCCACAATCCTCAGCGCTGGCAGGAAGCTGACCAGCGAGGAAGGGCTGGCCTGTGACACGTCCACGAGCGCACCCAACAGGGCCTCAGTCAGGGATTGGTCTCCTAGATAACTGACTAGCGTAGGCACCTGAGGGCTCAACATCTGTAAGATGAAAGCATTATTCATTATTTGTCACTCTTGTCACCACCACTCACTACCAAACAGAGGCTTATGTGTCTTTAATGAAGGCTGGAGGTGAGACGAGGGACAGTGGAGCGAGATGATAGGACTGGTGACTAATAAAACAAAAGACAAAAGCTTGACTGTAGCACTGTCTGGACAAACTGAGCGAGCGAACAGTTCCTCCTCATTATCTGGACTGGTCACACTGGACCGGATCAGACTAACAATGCCCACCATTGCCGGCCCTCCTGCTGCTAGTTTATGAGTCACTTGTCCTGAATAATCATATTAATATCAAACATTACTTGTTCATCAAAGAGAAGATGTTTCACTCCATTAAACTGAAGTTATGCAATTTCAAAGTTCAAATTATTACTTCTAATCTTTTCAGTCATTTCCAGTAAGCGGATATTAGGATGCAGAAGATTTGGTAACTTTTCTGACGGATGCAGCCACAACAGAAATATTTTGGACTGTGCGGGGGGTTCCGATTAGAATAACTCCAGATGGCTGGTTTTGTTTCTCCAGTGCTTAACGTGTGAGTGAGACTGTACATGTTTTATCACCATGTGCTCTGTTTCCTGGTATGTGGTACTTTCTTCTTGTGCTGAACATCAGCAGCTCTGCTCCGAAATGTGCAGGATTAAGGGAATTCCTACTTAGAAATGTGTACTCCACATGCAGTGCTCCACATTTACTCACTCCGAACAATGTTCCAGTGACTTTTTTTCAGCATTTCAACATGAGCTCATTACAGGATATGGCGAAGTCGAATGGTAAGAGCTCTGATTAAGCTTGACTCATGGGCTAAAATGGTACGAAAAAAGCCACACACGTACTCCACTGTAAGGCAAAGCCAAGTTAAATGTAAACTTATGCCAAGGCCATAGACTTTTGATTTAGTTGGATCGTGCTTTGTTTTCAGAAAACACCACAGTCTGATGTACTTCATTATCATTTAAATGATGGTATGTAATGCTGCTGAAAGGCTGCTAACAGTATTTTAGATGTTACAAGGCTTCTTGAAAATGTTATTACAAGGCTGACAAAGATGGGGCCAACAAAAAGTTTCAAAACATATGAGGAATGTAATTTATATTTCAATCGCTGGTAAAGTAACAGTGCTTTAAGCAGGATAATTTACTTTGGCCCATGTTATTAAAAAAAAAAAAATGACAGTCTTTTGATGGACAGCGAATAGTTTGATGATTCCCACAGTACATTGGAGCTTATTGCTACTATAACTAAACAAAAAACAACACAAACACTCACTAGTGGATGTTGCTCGGCAACAATTTGAATCAGTCTGATGAGGTGTTGTTGCTCTGGGGACTCCAGCTGAGACATCATCGCGGTGAGGTTGCCTAGGTGACAGTGGATGGTATCTGGCTGTCTGGGGTAAACTGAGGGTAACACCCGTAACAACATGTGGTTACCTGCCGGAGAGACAGAGAGACAGAGTTGCTTTCAGTGAGCTTTATTTGGATGTTGAAAGAGGCTGCCATATAAACAGTTAGACAGACAAAAAAGATTCAGTGCCCAGTGTGAATAGTAGAATTTGAGACATGAATCTTGTCTCATAAAATTTCCAAAATAGAAGAAATTTTAGATTTAATTCTATGTAAATGAACCCCCAAAATTCCAGTCTTTTGCATTACACTGATAGTTGTTTCTATTACTTTGACATCATTGAGAGTAGTCTGGATAACAGAAGCACCTCTCTGGACCAATTGCATCAAAGCCCCGTTTCCACTGAGCAGTACGGTTCAGTTCAGTTCAGTTCGCTACCCTTTTTTCTTTGTTTCCACTGTGAAAAGCTGTGGATGGTACCAATGGAACCGTCCGTACCGTCCCCATTTTTGGTCCCCCCTCTGTTGGGGTACCTAGCACACAGATCTGGTACTAAAAGGTGGAGCTGTGAACACTGCAGTCTGTTGATTGGTCGATAGAGTAAGGTCACTCTGCTCAGGGCTGAGTTGTGGCTGGTTTTGAGGCTCATGTAACCACTGTTCATACTGTGGAGAATTGTTTTAGTAGGCTGAAACTATAAAATAAAGGATGTTTTGCTGCCTCTTGCAGCAGCTGGAGTCAGAGAAAAAATAACTTAATTCTCACTGGGCCGACTGCCGGCAACTTTTAAGGTGTAATGTTTGCTTGTAATGTTACTCAATGCATGAGTTGACAACATGAATCCATCAGCACACCTTCAATTTTACTGTGACAACTTTGACCATCACTTTAGTTTTTATATGACACATACTTTTAGTAATGAGTGGATCTTCAAGCGTTTAAAAATATATATTAATTTCAACCGGATTATGTGAATAATCTGCATATATCCCAATCCTCACTTGAAGAAAAAAAAGCATTGGAGATTTCCTCCATCAGACTTCTTGCTATTGATGTCACTACATTCCCAGACTCCAACAATTAACTCAATGACTATAATTTTATTACTAACAAAAGGACTGAAAGCCAAAACTATGAAAATCAGACCCATGTCGCCTGAAACCGGAATTTTGCTTTAAGCTGTTTGTGGTGTAACTGTATTGTAACATCATGCGCATTTCACCCGCAACTGAAGATCCCCCGTCATGATAAAACATCTGTGTTCTGTAAATAAGACTTTCTCCATTTGTTGTCAATATTCCTTCAATGATGCTGATGCAGGGAAAAAGAAAAAGTCAGTGATGACGCACAACTGGACATAAAGGCATTTGTAAATCAGCACGCAGCCCAACAAAACCCACGGCATTACCCAACAGCCTTTGACTCACGTATGACACATCTTTAAATGATTCACATCGCAGAACAAAGACCCCTGTTTTCAGATGGTAGGTTCATTATTGGTGACATTTCAAGATTTCAGACAATGGCTTTTGTGTTTGACGGTGAACCGAATGCCAGACAACAAGAGATACTGTAATTTTAATGTGTAACCACAGAAACCTTTTGGAGCTCGTATAAAAGTTATATAGAATAGAGCTATTTATAACAGATGCTGCAGGGTTTAAACCACCGACAAATAATATATGGTGTTGATGTTTGGGAAATGATTCTAATAATCTATCATATATTCAGGACAGATGGAAAAACTAAGTGAACAAAGACAGTTTGACAAACGCAGGATTAAAAGGTGATAGACTGATATTTAATGAGGTAACAAATGGAGGGTGGTTAATCAGATTTCATCGATGCAAAAACATAAACACAGCAAAAACAAGAACGTCTGTGCTGAATCCAAACAGCAACACTTCACTTCCAAGGTGCGTGGAGAAGAGGAATGTCAAAAGTCCTGAAACAGAGGGCTCGGCCGCAACAAGTGAACATGCCATCTGCTGTCATTTTAACTTGACCAGCAGACTTCATGACAAGGTGATTGGCTGTTGAAACAGGTGATGTGCTTTACGGTCTAAACCAGGTGCCAGTGATTTGACCAGCTGAGTTGCAGGTGACACCATCAGCCGGCTTCAGTCGAGCTCAGATGGCCAGTTCACACCGCTGCAACAAACAGGCAACAAGGTCCAACAACGGCCGACTGGTGCAAACAGTGTCGGACACAATGCAAAAACAAAGGCGACAAACGTTCACCGACATCCTGACACTGACCAACGGCCGACCATCGGCTTGGCGTGTCAGGGCCCCAAGGCATTTAACTCAAAACCACAAATGTGAACCTCATATTGACAGTAGAAGAAAAGTCAAGGGATGACCAACATCCTTGTCCAAACTTTCACTGCAATTTATCCATTTCCATTTCACTCTGGACTAAACTGATGTACCTGCAAACCGACTGACGTCACCGTCTCAAGAGCCATGCCCCTATCCAGTAAATTTCAGTCCATGCAGTGACAGCAGATTTGCCTTTGCATTGACGTCTTGAGGCAAAATGACAGCAGTTATCATATGTATTTATCATTAACATCTGTTCCATGGGATTTTCAAACAGCCAGTACGTGGTGAACTTTTGTCTGTCTAATAAAAATCTTACAGCGGGAACCTAAATAAATGGTTTGGCATAACAGGTGATTCACATCTATAAATCACTTTAACCACAGGTTTTATCCTGCAGGACTGACTGTTCTGTTCTGTACTGTACTGTGTTGAGGCAGAGGAGGGAAGAAGAGTGCACATAAATACAGAAGTTGGTCGCTGGCTCCTGTGATGTCCCTTTCACTTCCCTTTAATCCTAGATTACACCGTGCAACATCGCAATCACACACCCATCTCTACACTTACCACACAAATCACCATAAAACAGAGACAGATACAGTTCATGTACAGAAAGAGCAAACTTGTAATGATTATAAAGTTAGGGTTGTAGCATTTACAGGTCTGTTCAGAGGAATGTTAAAAGGCAGGAGGAGGATTTATAGGAGTGTGCCTGTTAGAGCACAATCGCCCACATTGAAACATAAGGTGTAGATTTTGGGGGAGGATGCAGGGGACGTGTTGCCCTCAATATTTAGAATAATGGCATTTGTCCCCCCAATGAAAACATGAAAGTGCAGAGGACTTTTATTTTGATGAAACTGAAGACATTTCCGACAGTAAACTGACGCAGAAAAGACAAAAACTGATACATAAAAATTCACCAGAAAGCAGGAAACACAGATAGTACACGAGAAACGAATATACTCTTTTAATTATTGATTAAATTCACTTATTAACCAATATTTCATTTTGTAAAACCATCTTATTTGACTCTCACTGTGTCCTCCCACAATGTCCTGTGTGTGCGTGTGTGTGTGGTGTGTGCACAGTATCTGACCTTCATACCTTCATTCCAACAAAGCCTACACCCAACCCATCCTCATGACTTACAAATCTCAATAAAATATCCTGTAACGACCTTTGGTTCTTGAGCACACAAGGGCGACATTTTTCCCCTCAGACATTTTCCTGATGAACCCACTCATCTGTCAAACTATTGTTAACTTCATGTGAGGAGGCGGGAGAGGACGTGACAGCTTTCTTTTGCTGTGCTGTTTTCAAATCGGCACATAAGAATCCCAAGGTGAGTTGCAAAAAAAAAAAAACAACAACATTTACCAATTCTTTTAGAGACAGTGTGAATAAAAACTGACTTTAATACAGCTATTGGCTGTATTGTTACCTAAGAGGACACTAAAAGAGTCTGAGTCATGGGGAAAATGATTTTCAGTGTCTTTGCTGTAATATGGCAGTAAAAAGCCATTTCATCCCACAGCAATGACAAAACCATAAAGCGAAGGCATCACTAACAGCGCTGGGACCAGTGTATCAACATCAGTAACTTTCCGAGATCTCTATTAAAGATGCATATTTCATTTTATGCAATTTTACATGACATTTTAGCCCTCGAAAGGATAGCACATGACAGAAGAGCAAAAAGAAGGTGTTTGACATTTCCCTAAAATCTAGCCCTGTTTCCTACTGTATAAAAATGACCATATAAAAGTCAATAGGAATCATTTTTAAAAAGGCAAGCTACTAGTGCTAAAGATGTCCGTTGTGGCAGCTCTGACGCAATTAGTAGTTTTAGATTAGGACCACAACTACGGATTATTTTTATTATCAAGTCATCTATCAATTAATCTCTTGAGTAATCACTTAGATTTTAAAAAGTCAGCAAATTGTGATCAGACATACCAAGGAACCATAGTGACATTTTCAAATGTCTTGTTGTGTCGGACCAGCAGTCAACAAGACTAAAGGCCCCATGTCCACCAAAGCATTTCTTTTTTCAGCTGAAAATGTGAAGCGCTGCTCAGGCTGTGTAAAAAGTAACAGTGATGAGTGCAGCATTTTACCCATTGTTGAACGTTTTTCAATTCTTGACAATCAGGAAAAACACCAAATGTGTGGTGCCCAGCACCTCGTCTCATCATAGAAAGATGAGGTCAACATGGAAATGCCAAAAACCGCAGTTCCTCTAACGGCCACTTGAGGCGACCTCAATTCCCATTGAACCCCATTTTAAAATGCCCAACTTTACAGCAAAAATAAACAAGTTTACAACCTGGTACAAAAAATGGTTTTGGTCTCTATAGCTAATCCCTAATCATGACAACTGTACGGGGGTTAAATTTTCAACTCACCTATTTACATTTTATTAAGGCTGAAAGTTACAAATAATTAAGGGCGGGCAGCTTTGAGTGACAAGCTGTCTGCCAATCCACCCCTCGCTCATCCACAGGTCTACACTCTCGTCCAAATATGGTCACTTCTGGCTCCAAAGAAACCAAGATGGCAACAGCCAAAATGTCCAACTCCAGTCTACAAAACGGCAGTCCACAAAGCAATGGGTGACGTGATAGCTATGTCCATTATTTTTACAGTCTATGCTCATCACACTGCCAGCAGTTTTAGCCTACTGTAAATATTAAAAAAAAATAAGCCGACCTCAGGAAAAAACACTTTGGTGGACACAGTCTACAGCTGTGCTAGCAATATT